ACACAATCGATGCTCTAATACCATGAAGAAAGTTGGATACACGTGTGTTGTGCGAAGCATTTTGCATACAAGAATAGTGTATCCACTGATTGGAGGGAATTGTAAATTTATTGATCGAAGAAGAAACATACAAACTAAGTATTGTGATGGGGACTCTTGGGATCAGTAAGGAACAAAGTTCTCATCTTGGGAACAGTATTGAAGAAGGGTGCTAACCCTAAGGGAAAGAGCAGCTGCTAACATTTGCTTTGTGTTTCAACAAGAACACTACAACATGATAGAAGCAGAGCTTTTTTCCCTATGCTACAGAACTATCGGCAATTATAATCTCGAAAGAGCTTTGACTTGATGAAGAAGAGGTTGAAAAATGTGTTCTCCAGCCACCAACTGTCACCCTTACATGACCCCAGTTTGTCTAATCCATGCAGAATCTCCAGTTCTTATAGAGTCCCATCTACTCTACAATGGTCCATTCCATCCAAAACCCACTTGTAACTCCACCTCTATCAATGACCTATGTGGCCTAAACCTCTTTGACTCACAAATATATCATTTTACATTTCCTCTCATAAGGTAATTGCTTAAATAACAAAAATTGAAAAATTAAAATTAAAAAATGGGTACTGTCCTTACCTGGCTCCAATTGGCAGAAGTTACAAGCCGCGTGACACGTAGTCGTCTAGAATGCTGACGTAGATAATCCACTTGTCGAACCGCGTACCCAATCCTGCTGGAGATATTTCGCGGGAGGCCCTACAATCAAATTAAATGCTCCTCGGGAGTTGCTCCCATGGCCCCCACACACCAGCCCTCCCCCCGAGAAACCTTTCTGGAGGGCTTCGTCCGTTCGTCACAGCAACAACAACCAGTTCTAGAAACTTCTCACACCACACACCGTTTCACAGAAAGAGCTTGTCATGGATTAACTTAACTTATATCTCCTCTGCAGGGCCACCAATATAGTCCGCCGACACTGGCTTCTTAAGGGTCCTTCTCGCACGCGCGCAATGCAATAGAAACTGGAAACAATAAACTTAGCCGTGACAAAGTTAGGCAGAAATTTGGATGCGCGGATTAGTTAACAGTGGTGGATTCAGAGTCTTGCCCTTTAATATGCATTTAGAGATTCGGAGAGTGGATCACAGTTAGAAGCGTCCACGTTACCCATTAGTTTGCACCGGATAAGAAGCTTCCAGTGCTATAATCTCCCATTAATGACTGGATTAGGGCACAGTGTGGAGAGTCACCAAAGAAAGATCCCACGATGAACCCATTGGAGAAAAGGTTTTTGTGGCGGTCAGCGAGAGTATTTGAGCGTGCATCAGGATCCGGATAAGGGCAGAAATTCGGGGCGGATGAACAAATCTCCAAAAGGACTGCCCTTCCATTTCGAAGGTTGTTTCTCGCACGACACGGAGGTCGTTGCCCCTCACTTTGCCCCTCACTTGTGGGGTCATCCAAAGGAATCCAAGCGAAGCGAACACTTGGGTGGTTCATTATTTTAAGGTTTAATTCTGAACGCGACAAATGAACTGGATCTGAGTGCGCGGAATCTGCGTTCGACCTTGTTGACGTTTGCTAGATTTAGGGTGGAATCGTCGTCTTCATTTGGGGGTGCCAACAATAGGGCCACCATGAATGTTGATTTCATTATGGACGTAGCTTTCTGGATGAATGCGGATGGTTCTCTTCAATACCTTATTAAAAACCCAAAGCATTTCTTGTTTTCTCTTACGATTTTGCATATGGTACTTTTTATTTCATAAACAAGGGTTATGACACTTGAAAATCAAAGGTGTGCAATACACTGTAATAGACCCACTTTACAAATAAAGAAGTGAAGCATGTTTCTTTCAGTCAAAATAAAAGCCTTCTTGAACTATACTTCAAGCAAAACATGCTTAAATATTGATCCCCTTATTAAGGATAGGAGAAACACGTCTGTCACATGTTCTCACATTCTCATCCTATCCATGGGGAAAAGATAACAAAAAAACAAAAAACAAAACAAAACAAGTAAAAGTAATTAGGGTTTGTAAGGTAACCATGAGGCTTGTAAGATGCAAGGATTGTACTTGTGTCTTCTGCAGGATCAATTTTTATTTTTATTTTTTAATGACAAAGGCAAAGATTTTTTTTTTACTGTCAATCATCTTATTCTTCTTTAGCATTCTTTTCAACTCACACACTTAAAATGTGAATATTTTCATCATTCATAGTAGGCATGCATACATTCCATTTCTTAGTCTCCCATTTATTTATAGCCAGTATGTGTAGGTGTATGTATATCCACACACAAAAAGATTGATCCATTTTTAGTAATTTCAACACCAGATGTAACTTTTGTAAGTAATTGAATAGATAATGGGATACAAAAAATTTATAGTAAAATTTTTACCCACTTAAATTGAACAATGAGTAACTGCAAGCTTTATTATGCTAGTGACGTTAGGATTTGAGAGTAAAGCAGGCAGTTTAGCTGTGTTAATGCAAAAAGGGCATTTACAGGATTGTCTCAACTCAAGACTAATGAATACTTTTTCATCTTCAAAGATGGAAAAGTTACACATATGGACAGATCAGTGACATCTGACCTCACTTTTGGAGAGTAAAGTAGAATTTGTGAGGCACCCACCAAGAGTTGGGTCACAGTGATCAAGGGCCATGCAGATTGTGGGGCCCTAAATGCACTCTGAAGGAAAACATGTGTGAACAAAGCAGGAATTCCACATCAGATCCAACACTGCCCATAAGGGCTAAAAGTGTGGACAAGAATATTGTTCTCTCCCTTGTGGATCAAATTCCACCAAATGCACACAATGGGACATAAGTAAAATTTAGAGTTCTGTGTGGTTAAACACAGCCCAGTGCAAACAACATGAGGTTAGCAAAGAAAGAAATAAGAAATAAGACATAGCAGCTTCTAGAAGCTGTTTTTGCACAGGATAAAAATCCACACAGTTTAAATGGAATACTGGATTTACAGAGGTGCAGTGCTGGCAATTTTCCACACATTGGAAAATGAAATCTTCTAAATGAATGAATTGGCATATCATGTTTAATACATCCACAAAATTGAACAAACTACACTGCGATTAACTTCCAATTCACAGACACACATGTGACATCCATCATTTTGTGACATGAATGGGGGGACTCATGGATATGAACCCTATTTTAATTGCCAATCCCACAACTTTAAAAGCATATCCAAATCTAATCTCATTTTCATGCTTTCTCTTCCATTACAGCATTGATCTTGTGGCCAGGAAAATGCACAGAGCAGGTTTGTGGGGAGGTTCTGTCACAGCATCTTTTGCCAGATGTACCCAAATTTTCCTGTTGGTCCCTCCACAGCCCTCCACTTCCAAGTGGGAGCTTGTTTCCACAGTGAATCAATGATCTCAAAACCTGATTCATGGCACTGGGACTATAAGTCATGTGACCAATTGCAGTACTGAGCCATACCCTCATGACAAGACTGCCATGGCAGCATTGGACAGAGACCAGCTCATTATTAGGCATGCTCTCTATCTTCTTTGGATGTGGGTTGCCCCTGGATGGACAGGCAATTAGAAAATTGTTGTGGGTATATGGATGAATGTTGGTCATGAAATGGGCATTGTTTTCGTGGGATTGTGACTTGCTCTACAAATGTTTAGCCCTGTGCTTGTTGTCAAGTTATATGGTTACAGAACAATATTCCCATGCATCGCTCTATGCAGACAATTGCACTGACATCTTCACCTACATGGACACACAGGATCTTTATCCATCATCTCCTTCAATCTATGTAATAAGAAAAACAAAGAACAGTATATATATATATATATATATATAATTATTGTACAGTTGTAAAAAGAAGAGTAAAAGAACTTGTAATAGTTGCAATGCTCTATTGAATGTTGAGCTTTATTTCATTCTCCATTGTGACCACACAAAATTAAAATAACTAAAGAATATGGACCTCAGGCAGCTAGCTATTTTAGAATGGATAGGTACCCAACTTGCGATCCTCCTTGAAAACATGTATCATATAGAGATTGGTGAAATCATGAAACTGCCAATTGAAACCAGTGAGCAGTGTATGACCCATTCATTTTACTTACCACAAATGCAAGATAGAATAGTTTTTAAGTTCTGGATCACCAGGAACAGCAACTGGGAACATTGCCTCCCTCATGTTGTTGAGTTGTTCCTGTCTTTTTGAGCCCATCCCAGTCTTTTAGCACTGAACCATGGGGCTCATTCTAAAAGGAGGAGAATGTTCCTTCCTTTGCAGGTGCCATCTCCTCCAGAAAACCTAAAAAAACAACCAAGTGTTTGATGATTACAGGACAGAGAAAGGAACAATTGTTTTTAAATACAAAAAGTTAGCAGAAAAGATGTAAGGAAGTGGTTCCCCTCATTCCTTCCTTTTCTGGCCCAAATTATTCCATGCTTGTAAAAACTTGTTACATTTCCAAGGACAATGGAGAACCTAAGTCACTTTTTGAAGAGTAAATCATGAACATACATACATACATACATACATACATACGTGGTCTTGCTCTTGTTTTACCCAAACACACTGCTTGAAACCAAAACTGCCAGGAACAGGAAACAAATCCCACAAAAACCAGAAAGAAAAACAAGTCAGTGTAAACCCATCATATTGATGCTTATAAGTAAGCACAACCATCTTAAAACCATAATATCCATGTTACCTGGTGGGTCTCAGAGGCAGAAAAGATACGTATTAAAGACGAAAAGTGTATATTTTTAATTTAATTTTTAATTTTTGCGTTTTAGTGATTTTTCTCGAGTTTGAAAATGTCAATGCATTGGGAAAAGGTTGTGTAAAGGGGCGATCATGCGACATCCTCACTGCAAACATTCCATCCGCCTGACGATATCCGCCCTCAGATGCCCGGCGATATCCGCTCTCAGATACCCGGAGATAACCTCGGGTATGTACGCTTTGGAGGGGATTTTATACGTACAAGGGGGACCTGCATGCCTTGCAGATAGAGCTTAAGAGGGCCTGTTTCCTCCGGGCCCAAATCTTTCCCACCTCGTTTCGCACCGAGCTTTTCTCAATCCCGATCGTCTCGTTTGACGCTGCTGATCGAAGTCATTCCACCGATTACTCTTGCTGCCCTGCATGCTCCCTTCTTCCCCTGCCGAGCTTTGTCCGGAATAGCCCAAATCGGACAAGTTTTGTCCAATTTTTGCTGCGTTCTAACGCAGAGTCTGTCGAGTATCGTGCTGGTGTGAAATTCAGTAGCTAGAACAGAGGAACTGCGGTCAATTTTTGGGGGAATTGAAGCTTATGCCCCTGCTCTTTGGACTTCCGAATCTCAGAAGACCTGTTTGAAGCCATTGAAGCAAGGTTCTCAAGCTGTCGCGTGAGATACAGCAGCTTGATCTGCTTTTGTGGTAATCATATTCATTTTCTGTTTTATCACTTCTAGTTGAATTTTTCGAGAATGGGGTTGTTGGACAAGCTCTGGGACGATGTTCTCGCGGGACCTCAGCCTGACCGGGGCTTGAAGAAGCTACGCAAGGAGCGGTTGGCTGCGGGCTTGTCAGATGTTTTCCAAGACGGTATGCTACTTTCGTTTCTTCTATACACTTGAACAAGTTTGCTTTCGTCCATTTACATGACTTACAACGTGGTTCTTTTCTTAAGCAATGGAGGGGGGGGGGGTACATGTGTTGGTAGAGTTCTGTGTATGGCGTGGGCGTGTTAGGCTGAATGAGGACACCCATTTGTGATGTTGGTGCTTGTGGATGTGAATGTGACGACGTGTTCGATTTGGTCCTACAGACAATGAGGATTTTGCTCAGCGGATGATGGACCGTCGGAGGAGTGCCGAATTTCAGCGCTCTCAGAATGAGGCTCGTCGTGTCACCCAGAGCATTTCGATAAAGAAGCCGCTCATGCTTCGTCCCTTAGACACCGACTCTCCTGCAAATTCCCTTGGAAGCTATGGAGAGTTTTCGAGCCCTCCTGCATCGCCCTCTTTGGCCTCACCTTCTCCTAGCAGTGAGTTTTCTAGCGCATGCTGGAATGCGTTGCATATCTTTGACTTATTTGCGTCGCGATCTTCGTCTGTATTTCTTACGCATCTACGCACAACGTAGGAACATCTCGCATTCTCGATCACATGTTTTGCATCGGGGAATTCATTGGTACCTCTGCCTCATGGAAACTCTCTGTGTTCTGCAGTGTTTAGAGAAAAGGATCGAAGGCAGCGCAGTGTTTTTCATCCGGACGGCAGGGAGATATCACGAAGCTGCTCCGGCAAGTTTGAGCACGTACCCCCGCCAACCTCACCCACGGTGTATGACTGGTAAGTTTTTATGTCGAGTTACTTATTTCTCATTTGATTTCGTTTCCCTTGGAATGCATTGTAGACCTAGGTGTGTCGAGTTCAGCACAAGGACAACTTATTCCTTTTCTTATACTTGGTATAAGAACCACCATTTTAATACTTGAGATGATTTATGCCGTCTTTGTAACCATCTGCATGTTTTTGATGGATGATGCGTTCACTTTGAGCAGGGTGGTGATCTCTGCGCTAGATCGCTAAAAACTGTTACTATGCAGCATGGTTGGGCTTGCGGCGGGACGAATTGGCTTTTGGTTTTACACGATCATGCATGCAAGTCGCATTTTATGATCTGATTTCGAGGAGTGGGCATGCTTGGGTTGCTTCAGACTAAATGATAAGTGTGTACTTTTAACTGGTGTGTCTGGAGGTCGTGATCAGCGTTGTTGACTGGGAGATGGGAATCAGAATTTGAACTTGGTGTTATTCACATCGTCAGAAAGCGAGGTGCAAGCTTTGTAATCGAGTCTTGTTGGGACATCGGTGCTGAAGAAGACCGGTCTCTCACCCGCGGATCTACTAATGTAAGCAGTCAAGGAGAAGTAGTAGTAGTAAATAGCACACCTTGGCAACTGTTCTATTTGCAATGGAGATATATAAAGGAAGTAACTCTGGGTAACTTTGGCGTATGGACGCCGCTGAATTCTTGATATAAGTTCTATGTCGTCTTTTGAGACAGAAGAACATGTAACTTCAGATGATGATGAAAAAAGTAGTGAAGAGGTGGGCATTCGGATCCATGATCCATGGTTCATGTGCATGGATTATAGAGCAAGGATGCCGGCGCAGTTTATAGCCTGCAGCAGATCGGGGCCTGGGATGTTTTCCGGAGGGGCGGGGATATGCACATATATTGTACAGTGCTGTGTGAGGTCCTTCAGTGGCGAAGGTTGGCTGTGATTGCTGCAGTCAACATATTTTGCAGGAGATAGACATCACGATGCTTTTTGGTTGTTTTATTGGCTAGGGAGCTTTTGTAAAGTAGGACAGTTTGCAGTTGACGGTGCGGAATACGCTCTATATCATCCCAGCTTTTATTGAAGTGGTGACTAGCGAGTAGCGTGCTTCTTGTATGTAGATTTGATTTAAGAATCTTTGATTGGTTTGCATTGATGACTATGAAATATGAGAATCTGTGTTGAAACACATACTTGTCTTTCTTTGTCGTATGTCTGGAGACATACCTTCCAAGGTTTTGTGATGCTTAATTCTGCTCTTATGCGTTGTTGAGTGTTTGCCTCTGAGATTGTGACATGTCGGCTGATTGCATGCCTTGCCTTAAATGGGGTATTTGTCCAGATCCAACCCCCCTTGGCCCCTCGTGATCGTATGACGATACGAAACGTTGCATGATTGAGGTCAAGGATGAGAGTGGTCTACTTGTGCACAAGCCCAGCAACAAATAGGGGGCACATCTACCACAGATGCCTATCATCATATTTCTGTTCTTTTCCTGTGTTTCCAATTATGCTAGGGCTAGATATTGCCGAATTTCTGGACTTCTGTCGAGCCACATACGAGTGCTCAACTCAAGAAAATGGCCTCCGCTGCTCTAACATTGTAATCCTTCATGTCAATTCTTCTAGGATTCCTGCGTCCATGAGATACTTGCATGCCGTGCTCGTAATTCTTTTGAAGCGAAACTTCAATTTCCTTCCTGTTTCTTCTCAGGTGTTGTTTGAAAACACTGATTGAATGCATTACAAGCGATTCCAAATCTTCGTCTTCTGAGCATGATTGTTACGTTGGTGTCCGACCGTTTCATAAAGTCGTAGCTTATTCCTCATCTTACAGATTCTGTTCTGTCCGATGGTAGGGTCCGAAGTTTACTCATCCGAAGTTAAGAAGACGGAGGTGCTCATGGAGAATTTCCACTGCGCAATCGGATTTCGTATTTAGGAAAACTAAGAGGTGTACGAGGACGAGGCAAGCAACAACATGATTCATATACACTGGTGGATTTTTGAATCGAGAGATGTACAAAATTGCCATCATCTTTTAACCGTAGAGGTTTATAGATCGATTTTATATCATGTTATAAGAAAAGTAGAAACAACCATGCGCTCATATTCTTAGTGCAAATTGAGCATTGCTTTATTTCATGAATAGATCTCACGATTGTTATCTAATTGTATCAGCATAGGTTTACCATGCTTGGTTAGTCTCTTAGAGGGTCGTGGTCCGTCTGTATTTGAACAATTTGATTATAATCTCCTGAATTGTCTAGGTTATTCACTTTTATCATTTAAGACTTCCAAATATAATATCTATGACACAGGGTACCCATGGATGTAAGGTTAGAATGCTATTTGTGTGTCCTATTCAGGTGACCCAGCTCACCAGAATAAACAGAAAGTACTGCAGGAGGCAATGGCAAGAGCATTAGTCAAGTTGTAATTGGGCTGAAACTGTGAAGGGAACCAAGCAGTTGAAGCAAGACCCAACTATTTACCATGCTCTTATAAAAGAAAATGTAAGAATTTGTGATGTTCACGGCAAAAGCTGAATGCAATGTTGAACTTATATTGGAAATTTGGTTGTGCTATAAGGAAGGACTTTTCTGCATGGAGAATCTACATAAGTGCTATGTAGGGTATGGTCATGCAAGAGCTGGATGGTGATGGGAATTACATCAAGGCTAATAGAGTAGTGGTGAAGTGGGTGGGCAGAAGTGATGCATTTGTCACAGAGTTTGATTTGAAGGCAGAGAAGTTTGTTCTCTTACCAAAAGGGAAGTGATTGTTTGGGTTGGTTCTTTGACCATTGTGCACATTGTCATATACTAGCTATGCTCTTGATTCCTCCTGTATCATGTTTCATATCTCATTCATGTGTTTTTCTCATGTTCTGTAATTTTTGTTGTGGTATGTAAGATGTGATGCTCCATGATCTAGATGCTGCAAATGCTCACTCTCAATGAAGCAACCAAGAGTTTATGTCCATAATGAGCCAGATGATGAAACCTCACAAGACTGAAATTACTGATAAGCTAAGTCAAGAAATTAACAAGGTATAAATGTTTTTGGTCTCAACTCCATGTGAATGTGGAGTCTTGTACAATATAGTGTTGTTTGATCTTCATATTGTCAAACAAGTGATATATATATATATATATATATATATATCTAGCAAGGAGAGTTACAGGTTAGGGCTAATAATTTCTTATTCATCCACTGTGCAGGTAGTCAATAGAAACATTGATCAAGGTATGGCAGAGCTTGTTCCAGGTGTTCTCTTCATGGATGAGGTGAACCAATCATATTACAGCACACCTACCTAGCTCTTCTAAATATATGGATCCCACAATTGCATATTGTGAGCAAGTTCAATTTAATTCAATTCCCTGCTGCATTTTTTTTTAAGAATGATGACAGAATGGTTATCTTACAAATGTATGGTGTGCTGCAGGTGCACATGCTTGATATGGAATGTTTTACATATTTGAGCAGTACCTTAGAAAGTTCCTTGGTACCATTGTCATATCTGCAACATAAAGTTCTTCCTCTGCTCTATCCTGCTTCCTTATATCTGTCACTCCACTCCAAAAATCTTAGAAGACTTCTTTCCCTAATATGTAAGATAGAATTGTTCAGTTACCTCTCCAATAATTCTCATTTTGTTTCTTCCAATTGGAATTTGCACAGGAACTGATATCAGCAGTCCAAATGGTATTCCTGTTGATGTGTTAGATCATCTGGTTATTATCAGAACTCTACCCTACACATCACAGAAATGGTCCAGGTGTGCTATTGTAATTTTCTGTATCCTCATTCAACAGGAGTATGAACAATCACATCATCCTAGAGCATATTCTGTGTTAATTTTAAACTTGCCATCATTTAAAATATGAATTGACTTCATACCAACGCAGCTTAGGTCAGAAAATTTCTGATGTGTTTTTTCATAATCCCCTCTTTAAATTGAGAGTATAAACTGCTGTGGATTTTGTGATTGCAGATCTTGACCATTCTAGCAACTGAAGAAAGCTTAACACCAGCCAGCATTGTGGCAAAACCCAGTGGTGGCAATCAGATTAGCAAGGTTTGTTCATCTTCCAAAAGTCTTGTGAATTAGAAGATGCTTTGTTGCAAGATACTTCTGTGTAAGCACACTCTAAATCACAATACTTGATGCTCTTCACATGGCATTGCTAAGCTCTTATACAGAGTTGCCATCATATAACCTGCAACGGATTTTGTACTTTCATTTCAATACAACTTAATTCTTTTGATGCTAGGGGTCTGAAGGATATGGCAGTGCTTTTCCTGGATGCCAAAGCCTCAACCCAACTTTTACAGGACCAACCTGATAAATATGTTTCATAGTAGTTTGGAAAGGAGCAATTGCAAGCCAATATAACATGGCTTTTTTTTTTTTTTTTTTTTTTTTTGATATGGTCTTAGTTCCAGACAGTAAACAAGCCAAAATCTCAGAATGGGTACCCACTTTCAACACTAGTATAGTTTCTAAAAAAGTAACAATTTATCATTTGTGACAAAATTCATACGTGACAAAATTGTGTTCATTGCTAGTTTGATTGTAATTGTCCTTTAATAATTGGAAGTGAGGTGGTTTCCTCTAGAACCAGATAATTCTCATTTTGTTTCTTCAAAGTATTAGTGTTCCATGGGGGTTCAAAGCTGTACAAGCTTATCAATTGTGTTCAATACAGTAAAATGCTTTTCCTGTCAATAAATATTTATCTATCTGTACATACATATGCCCTCTTAAAAAGATTTTGTTTTGGTTACATGGTGTGTAAATCATACAAGATTAAAATCTTGTTAAAATAAATGAAAATTAGGAGTATGAGAAATTATATTATAGCTAAATATCGTTTTAAAAAACCTACATTTCTAAGCTTATTACATAGATTGTACAAAGATTGAATTGAATTTTAATTTCAAATCTATATATATATATATATATATATATATCAGATTTAAAAAATCAGTTGTATTTTAATTTTTTAAATTTTTTATTCCATGTATAAAAGTTGTAACCTTAAATGTTTCTAGAAACTTGAATATTAATCTTAAACTTATTTAGCTTCATTATATGATTTTATTTATTATTTATTTTTATTAATTTAATAAATATCTATTTTAATAAAAACATTAATAATACAAATAATAGATATGACAGCATCCTCTAGAAATAAAATCATTGTTAAATTCAATGAAAAGAACTATATTTTATATATAATAAAAATAAATAGCTTTTTTGAATAATAATCAATTCAAAAAAATAATGTAAAAAATTAATAGTTTAATTTTAAATGTATTATCTTAATTTTATTTATTTTATTTATTTTAATTATTTTAGAACCAAAAATAAAAAAAGAAACAGAAAATTCATTTTTATATCAAAGTTCTATGAAAAAAGCTTTGCAGCACAAAGTTGAAACAATCTTCTTTTTTTTTTTTACTTTTTTTTTTTTTTTTTCCTTCAATAATTAGTTTTTGTAGAAATATCCCAAAATAAAACATACATTGTTCTTCAAAACAACTTCGAGTAGAAAATTCCAAGGATAATAAAAAAATAGCAAAAGAAGAAAAGTAAAGATTTTGATAATGTAAAAATAATAGTGTTATTATCTACAAAAATAGTGTGTTATGAAGTGCAAATAATAAGACATATTTTAGATTTTTAATGTATTTTCGATGATGGTATAGAAAAAAATTATATTTAATAAAATAGAAAAAAGAAAAGAAAAGAAAAAAAAACTGAATACAATTTAATACATCAATTTGCAAAGATCTAACAAAAATTTAAAAGACTATATGATTTTAAGGTAATATACAATGATTTTATTATAATTTTAAATACACACACACACATACACACACACAAACACACACACATATATATATATATATATATATATATATATATAATCATTTAAAACATGTATTAAATTCAAGGAACAAATGATACATTATTTTTGATAAATTATTTTTATAAGATATAATCTACAAATATGTCAAATAGAAAAAAAAACATTAATAGTATTCTCCTATAAATAGTCTTTACAAGATTTAATTCAAAGACTTTTATAAACTTTATAAGATGAATAAATTGCTATTATTAAAAAATTTTGGATTTTAAATTAATTTCTTTAGAAATGGAATAATATCTAGTGAATTTTTTTGTTCATAATACTTATAATAAAATTTTTAAAAGTTTTTTCAGAAATAAAGATTAAAGATAAAATATATAAGCAAAGTAAATGCAATGTTTATTATTAGTAAATTATACATTAAATCATTTTTTGACATACATGAATATGCATATTACATTATCATATGAATATTCATATATTGTAATATGAATAATGTCATAAACCCTGAGCAGCTCCTACAAATAGGCTGCAGTTTGGAAGGTTCTGAAATAGTTTTTCTTTTTTCTTTTTTTGGGTAGTGCTACAATTTCCGGATTTTGATGTGCTGCAATTTCACATGAGATTAATTTTTTTAAAACATACATGTATTATTACTAATTAAAAATTAATATACTTTGAAATTATTATTATTATATAAAGCATAAATTAATTTATTGTTTAGATTCAAAAATATTATACAAAAATATCGGTAGTTATCAAATTAATAACACTTTCATAAAAAATGGCATATTATATCTTTAAGTTTTCAAATTAATTTATTAGTATAAATTATAAATAAAATTAAATAACTAATATTAAAATAAATATAAAATTTAAATTATATCTATATATTTATTTTAATTATCATATATATATTAAAAATCATATTTTATAAACTTATAAAAATCTTAATATTTATGTATTAATTGAAATTCTTTTTATTAGAAAATTTAGGAATTAAATATGTATCTTAAATAATAAAATTTATTAATAATTATTATGTATTTATTGTACTATAATTAATGAAGATGGTAATTTATTTTAAAAATCAAAATAAAGAATATAATAAATTATTATTATTTTTTTTTATTGGCTTTCTAGATCCAAAAGAAAAATAATGGTAAAGAATATACAATTTAAGAACATGCAATAGTTTTATTAAAATAAATAAATAAAAATGAAAGTAGAATAAGTTACTCTATAGAAGATATTATCTTAGATATCTTACTAATGGTCAAAGGATTGACTTTTGATCTATGAAAAGTACATTTTATGGATATATGACAAGGTTAAGGGTTAAGAATCAAAATAAAAAGATAAAGTATCAACTAAGAAATATCTAAAGATTAAGTAAGAATAATTAGTATTTGGCATTGGATATTTTTTTGGTTGGTGTTATACCAAAGGATCCAAGGACCATAGGATACCTTTATGATAAGTTAGATATCAAAAGATCCTAGGACCATGTCTATAAAAGTCAAAGAATGGACATTGACTTTTAGGAGAGCAACCACCACCTTTAAGTAATGAATGTTAGAAGTGAGAGATATCTTTCTCTATATTTTTTTTATGTATAATCTTATTGATATTATGTATTGTGACTTCAAAGTTTTTTTTTTTTTTTTTTTTTTTTTTTTTTTCTTTTTTCAATAGGTTATAGCCCACTCACATTTAGTTGTGATTTTTGAAGTTCTTTAAAGTCTTTCTTATTGTGAAAAGTAGATCTTATGGTTGTTACTAATATCAAGATTTTGTATCTTCAAACTCCACTTTGTATGCAGTTATTGATATATTTTTTTTCTTATTTATTGTTAAGTGTATTCATACTCTTTGATGCTATTAGATACTTTAGAATGATGTTTTTAAATACTAGCATTTTGTTTCTTTGTTGAATTACATCATTGATGCACTAATATTATACTTTCATGTGCTTAAGTTCTTCAAAGTTCTTCTTATAGTGATAAGAGGTATTTTGTAAGATTAGAAGTTTTATATAAGATTAGAGATAATTAAAGATTGGCAAAACTTATACAAGAGGTTTAAATAGAACATATAACTTGTAAAAAGTATTATAAATGAAGTTAAAAGTGATTAAAGAGTGAAATCACTAGCTTACTCATAAAGAAGATATTTTGGATTTCCAAGGCAATAACACCTTCTTATTGATTTTAAAAGCTTTATTTTCTCTTTTCTTGATTTTTTTTGATATACCTCTTCCTTAGACATGGCTTCAAATGAAGATGAATATAACAAGGTATAGATAAGATATTTGTATTATTGACATATAAGAATAGATAGTTGGAACCATATTTGAGAAGTTATGGAAGTTTCTAGAATTGGAGCTAGGTTAGTAGACTATGTAAGATCCACTGTGGAACATTCTACAAAGAGCTTAGGGCAGTTATTTAGGTAGGATCTACCATAGAACCTTCTAGAAAGAATTTAAGGTGGTTATCTAAGTGAGATCTATGATCTAAAAACATTCTAAAAAGCCTAGGATAATAGAATAAAATATATATAAAATTAGCTAGGGCTTTTCAAGCATCTGAGTAAGTATAGCTTTGGACCTTTTTTCTTAGTAAAATTTGGTTTTGCATCTTCTTGTTAAACTCAATTTTGTTCTATTTTTTTTTTCTTAATTTTTTCTTTCATGTCTTATTCTATTTAGTTTCTTAAAGTTTTGTTTTGGTTCATTTTGTCTTATTTTGTAATAAAATTTTATGTTGCTGTAGATAGAAAGGTCTTAGACTCTGAAGATAGACTGGTCTTCTTTTAATGAAGGTTAAAAAGTAATTGAAAAATTTAGAGGTAAAAAAATTTATTATTAAAAAAAAATAGAGCTTATATTGATTTTATTAGATCTTTGAAACATTGTTGATGAAAGTGAAGAGTGTCTAAGAAACAATGCTAGTATCAAGATAAAGAAGAAGTACAAACATTATGAAAAGAAGACTTTTGAATTGATTGCAATAAATCTTAATGATGCCAACTTTTCATATGTAATTGCTTAAAATAGGTTAGCAAAAGAATAGAAGATTTTTTGCAATATCTACAAAAGTAGAAACCTTGCCAATATTTTATGGATAATAAAGAAGTTCTTAATGATAAAGATGGAAGAAAGAAATGACCTCATGGCTTATATCAATAAGGTAAAAACACTTACAAATCAATTAGTAGTTATTTACATGCGAGTTGGCAATAGAAAAATCATGTTGATATTGCTCATGAGCATTTGGAGTCCTAAAACTATTTTATTATGGCATTAGAATCTATCAACATAAAAGAACTTATCATGAAGTATATTACGTCAAAACTTGTCCATGAAGTGACTAAGAAAAAAGAAAAAGAGCTTCAAAGTGACAATTTGGTTCTATTTTCAAGACAAGGCAAAAGTTGTTATTTTCACTAATATGATAATTTAAAAAGTAATATAAAAATTACTTTATTTATAAA